AAAAAAAAAAAGTGTCTTTAACAATCCCTTTTTCCGGGCTGGCCCCTTAGCACGGTGGTTAAGTACTGTACATAAAAAGCTGGATCCCACGTGGCTAATTGTGGTTGGAATTCTGGCTACCATAGCTTGACAAACATACCAGGCATATGTGTGCATGTACCCAGAATCTTGATGGGGTGGAGAAATGGGGGAAACGATTGTGGCATGAGCAGGCCCATTACGAGGTGTTTTCTCTCTTTTTCTGGCAAGCACACATGCCCTCTGGCAGTTAAAAAATTTTTAAAAGGGGCTAGCAGGTGGTGTGGTGTTTCGAGGCACTGGACTCCCACATGGCAGACTGCAGTTCGAGTCTGACCTGGAGGCTTACTTTCTCACTTTCCCTCTCTCTCTCTGTCCCTCTCTGGTCAAATTAAAATAAATAAAGTTAAATAAAATCATTGTTTTTAAAAAAACTTCTCCCTTAACAAATACATGAATAAATTATAGTTGTAAAACATATTTTTAAAGATTTATTTAATTATTATTTTTTCACTTGAATTTTGCCAGAGAAAGAGAGAGAGAGAAAGCAAGCCATGAAGTCTAAGACTCCAAGTTGGTCATGTGGAAATTCTAGTGCCTTAACAACCATGCCACCTGCTGGCCCCATCAAACACATTTTTAAAATACTTTCATGCTGGGGACCAGCAGCTGGCGTGGTGGTTAAGGTGCTGGACACTCTCACATGGCTGACCACAGTCCAAATCCCAGATCTGGTGGCTTGCTTTCTTACTTTCTCTCTGGTCAGAATAAAAATAAATTAATTAATCAAATTAAATAATTCTTTAAAAAAACTACTTCCATGTTAAATGAAGTTTAAAGAGCAAATACCTGAGGAGGAAGCAGAGATGGTTTACATTACTGGCCTTCTGTAGATAAATGCTTTTTTTTTTTTTTTTTTGGGGGTTTTTGCCAGGGGGTGGCGGTGCTCGCCAGACAGAGAGAGACAGAGACAGAAAGCCAGAAATCACCCCCGGGGGGATGGTCACGGCGCAATCCCTTCTCCTCCATTCTCCTCTCGGGATCTTGGGCACACACGCACATGTGCCCAGCGTGAGTTTTAAGCCCCGGGTCCAGGACTCCAACCACAGTCGACTACATGGGAATCCAGCCATATAGCCATTACGCTAACTGCTGGTCCCTAGATAAATGCTTTTATTGTTTACCTGCCTGGTGTATGGAAAAGATGAGAGCAGCAGTTCTTATACTCCTGTTTTATAATAAAGCAACCTTGGTCAAATTTCTTTTTTTTAATTTGCTAGTGGGTGTGCGTGCTTGGTGGAGGGGAGGGCGGGCAAGGAATTGGGAGAGAGTGAGAAAGCGCATCCTTCATAAGGAAATGGACACCATGAAATCCTTTCTCCCTTTCCTCCCCCTTTCGGGATTTTGGATACAAAGGCACATACACCCAAGATGTTTTTCAAGCTATTGGGTCCCAGGACTCAAACCATGTAGTGGGCCATGTGGGATCCAGCTGCCTTAACCACCATGCCACCGGGTGGCCATTGGTCAAGTTTCCCAACCCCTCTTGTGTAAAGTGTGGCTGCTAATACTTAGCTGGTTGGGTCTGTGACGATTAAGTAGGATAAAGCACAAAACATACCTGGCTCCACCCTTCCTTTCCTTTCCTTTCCTTTCCCATAGAGCCGTTAACTCCTGTCAGGTACGAACAAGCCCATGACTTTCTGGTCCCACACAGTTCAT